GAAGATTAACTACTCTGACAGAAGAGGCTTCAAGACCACATGGAAAGAAAGAGGATCCGGTCTGAGTCCAGCTCAGTCCCCACCAAGACAACAGGCATGCGACTGAAGCCATCATGGACTCTTCAGACCAGGCCCGCCACCAGATGGATAACACAGAATGATGCCACAGTGTGATGATGGGCAGAAGAATCTCCCAGTTGAGTCCTGCCCACATTCCTGACCCACAAAACCATGACCTACAATTAAAACGTTATTTATTGTTTTAAACCATTACGTTTTAGGGGAGCAATAGACAACCATCATAGGTCCTTCCACTCAACATTGCCTCTCTTATCTTCCCATCATCCACACAACTTTTCATTTAGCTGAGTTACATAAAATGAGAAAACTCCCGATGCACCTTCATTTGAATATCTACTGCCCCTGACCCCTTAACGTTAGACAGCCCTCTCCTCTCACTCAGGCCTCCAACCCATACACTTGGCCTGTCCTCCAGAACTCCCAGACACATCAAGACCTTCTCCAGGCAAACACCCTAGAGATGCTTCTGCCAGTGGGTGACCTGCATGTGTTTTCTGAAGCAGTGCGGGGACAGCCAGCTGCATCCAAACGGCCAGAGACAGGGTTTGTTAACTTTAGTTCGGCTGCTTTTTATCTGAATTATCTTGGCCAGGCTGCTTGCCCTCCCTAATCCTTAGCTGTGAGGATTAACTAAATTAATTCATGCAGAATGGCTAGCATTAGGCCTACGGATGCCTCCTCCATCGCAATGAAACAAAATCCATTTCATTCACCTCCAGCTTCATTTCAGAATTTATGCTCCATGTGTCACTGGGTTCTTCTGACCTTTAGTCTTTATTACAGATCAATACCATTCAGTCTTCAAATGATCAGATCTTTGAAAACAGGCAAAAATCATAGGCTCCAAACAGCAAGGACTCTGGAGCCACACTGATTGGTGTCCAGCTTTGCTCCATTTACTTGCTGAGTGGTCTGGGGAAAGTTACCTAACCTTTCTGAGTCTCAAATTTCTCTTTTGTAAAACACATAATATAATATTATTTTGCAGGATTGTCCTGAGGATTAGCAATAATCTGAGCAAAACGCCTCTCCATATTTGTTCCACTTTCACCTGTTTCTTGTGCAGCTGGGACCAGTGTACGGGTGGGTGTGGTAGATGAGGTTGGAAGGCAGTATAGTATGGTGGCCAAGGGCACCAACAGACTGGGTTCAACAAGACTGGCTAGCTATGAGTACATTGCTAACTCTCTATGTCTCAGTTTACCTATCTGGAAAATGGGAATGATCAGAGTATCTACTTCCAAGGGTTATTTAGAGGGTTAAATACATGAAAGGCTCAGAGCAGTATGTGCTTCTTAGCATTTGTAAGTACTTGCTGTCATCATCATCATCAGAAGGTTGCCTGGACCAGAGCAAATGTGGACATACCTGGAGGGGTGGGAGGAGGCAGGTCTTCCGCATCTGTATGCACAAAGAAAGACAAGAGGTCACTGTCTTTAGTGACTCTGAAGCATGAGGAAGCTGAGGTGATAAGGTTGTAGGTGGGAGTGAAGGGCAGAAGACAATGGCCTTTCTGCCGGAACACTAGGACTCCCCACTGGGCAGCTCCAGACTTCCTTCAGACAGGGCTCTTGGTCTTGGAGGAGGAGGCACCTCAGCTGAACGGACTCTGCCGCACAGCAGGCAGGCTCAGATTTCCCTCGTCCCCTCCTTTGCAGAATCACCTGGACTACTTGTCAAAATGCAGATGTCTGCCCCCCTTTCCGAGCATAGTCAATCACAGTTTCTGGGGCTGGGGCCCTGGAATCTGCACTAGTAATACCCCAGGCAGTGCTGTGCACATTAAAGTTCTAGACCTTCTCTGTTCAACCCTGGGAGATGCCAGGGCACGGAAGCCTTGAGCCCAGGGCCAGCTCAGAGTGGAAGCTGGAGGGCTGTCATGCAAGAAAGAGCAGGTGGATGGTGGATGGCAAATCCATCCAGGATCCATTGCAAAATGTCTTCAACTGCAACACAAGAAACCAACGCCTGAGAGGGGAGTTACCTGAGCAGATGACACCGGCGTCCTCGTGGTGGCCACAGTTGTGCTCTGACCAGCCCGAGTGGGCGCACTGGCCCAGGTAGCGTTCCACCCCTGAGCACTGGACGTTGTCCAGGAGGATGTCCCCTGAACCTGGGCCAAAGTGGGCCTCGCCGAGGCTAGAGACAGCTTGCCCACACCGGAGCTGTCGGCACACCACCTCAGCTTCACGCAGGTCCCACAGGTCGTCACACACAGTACCCCAGGTTCCTTGGTGCAGGACCTCCACACGGCCGGAGCACCGGCCCGACCCGCCCACCAGCAGCAGCTCCGGCCAGTCCCCTGCAGACAGAGATGTGATGGATGAGTTCCTGAAGGACCTTGCCTGAGGTCCACCAGCACCAGGCCTCGAGGGAAACAAGGCTATGGGGGAGGGGAAGGTGGGACAGGCCCTGGTCTTGGGCCGTGGGGCTTGGTCATCATTTCTCATGTGCTTGTGAGTCACCAGGTATGTTGTCTTCAGCTAATTTAGTTTATTTTTTAAGTCTTTCATGTTAGACACAATATTACAGCTGTGAATTGAAGAGATAAGATTCCTGTCTTTACGGAGTTGTAACCAATTGCTGTTGGGTTAATTCTGACTCATGGTGACCTCATGTCAGAGTGGAACTGTGCTTCATGGGGTTCAATGGCTGATTGGAAGATCACCAGGCCTTTCTTCTGAGGTGCCTCTGGGTAGGCTCGAACCTTCAACCAGGGACTCCTCATGGAGCCTTTGTTGTTGTTGTTGTTGTGTGCCGTCGAGTAGGACCCGACTCATAGCGACCCCTCCTTGGGTTTCCGAGGCAGTATCACTACAGAAGTAGATTGCCCCACCTTCCTTCCGAGGAGTGGCTGGTGGGTTTGAACTGCCAGCCTTCTGGTTAGTGGTCAAGTGCCTTAGGCACTGTGCTACCAGAGCCTAGAGTCTATTTATCAGTCAAGGATGGACACTAGGACAATGCACTCCTCCACATTGTGACAGGGGAAGGAGAAGAGCAAGAGGCTGTGAAGAGAATGATAGAGAGGAGGGATCTGGGGAGACATCTCTCAAAAATGTGAGAAAAGCCTGGTCAGGGAAGAGTTGAGCCAAAGGGTCCCGCCTATGCAGAGAGACCCTGAAATGCCATTTCACTCCTGCCCGTACTTCTGAAAAATGTGGACAGTATAGAAAACTCCACAAAGCAATCATCACATGTGAAAAATAAAAATAATTCCAAAGAAGACTTTCTAATGGTATCTCAATAGCATGAAAATCTCTGCAGTTTAGACAGGGAGTGAACTTAGAGCTGGAACCATAAATAAACTAAAAAGAAATCACTGCTGTCGAGTCAATTTTAGCTCATAGTGACCCCTCCTTGGGTTTCTGAGGCAGTATCACTACAGAAGTAAATCAGCAATCTTCCTTCTGAGGAGTGGCTGGTGGGTTTGAACCACCAGCCTTCTAGTTAGCAGTCAAATGCCTTAGGCACTATGCTATGAGAGCTCCTGGAAGCTCCAGGCAATACCCCAAACAGGTGACAGTTAATCTTTCCCATCTCCCACCAGCAAAAGGTGTGACCCACCTGGATTGTTAATAACTGACTCCTCAGCATCTGTTGATAGAGAGGATAAATGCATCAGTCATTTTTGAGAGATACTAACCTTAATAACTAGTGACACATGTTTAAATGACATCTTCATGAGTGTCTATGATACAATATGGGAAAAGTTGGTCCCTTTGGGGTCACATTAGAAGGTTCTGGATAGGGTGAGATAGAAATGTGGAATAAAACTCAAAATCATAAAAAAAAGATTAGACTTTCTGGTCAGAACCCCTGAGAGTATGGCCCTTAAAAATACCCATTGCTGTCGAGTCAGATCAGACTCATAGCGACCCCTCCTTGGGTTTCCCAGGTGGTATCACTACGGAAGTAGATTGCCCAACCTTCCTTCCGAGGAGTGGCTGGTGGGTTTGAAC